TTTTGCGTTCATTTGCGTTTATTTCCAAATTAATATCAAGGTAGGACATCTATGACATCGTCGATAACTTATTCAACTGCAGAATTTTGTTCAACTCTGCAAAAATTTCAATTTCCATACCCTTTTTATTGTTCAATGAACCTAAAACCTCATAGATCAAAAGGTTTTCTCAACAAGTTCATGTAAACTTGTAAGTCAGGAATGGGTTCATTAATCATTTTTTGATATCAGGAAGTTCCTGGAAATTTACAATATTTTTGTACAGAAATACTCTAATGAAAGAATAATCGAAGATTTATTGGATAACTACTATGAAAAACGATTGGAACCTTTACTCGATACTGACAGATATTGTTTTAATATCGATGCCGACAAAAAAGTACGTCTGATATTGAACGTATATTGCTGAGATTAATTAGGAAGCCTGCTCCTTAATAAACATTTTTTTTTTATAAATAGTAGGTAGCATTTGTAGAAAGCAAAAGAGTTGTATTTTTGTTCACCTTTTAGTCAGTTAATTACTTAATTACCTGACCCTAACTGTCAAGCAAAACTTATAGAAAGGTTTTCAAATTAGTTTATTCTACTTTTAGGATTGCTTCGTAATAAATTTTCACTTCATAACGAATAAAAAAGAACTATTTTAGAAGAATATAGTGGACGATGAACCATGCATACTCGTCTTCAACGTTAACAGCCAGATGAAAGTTTATAGCGGTCCGATGCTTTGGAACCAAATTGATATAACCATCTCATATCCGAGTGATGATTTTGTCAGTCAAAATCTACTTCATCATACATCAATATTAGAACATTCTAAAACAATTATCCACCAGTGACCTGTGACCTGTTCTTCTGGAAAAACATGGAATGATGGCATTAATCTTGCACAAGTTAATAAGTGCCCTGATTTCCAAACAACTGCGTGTTAATTATCAGCTTCAATCAGAAAGAAAATGATGAAACTGAAGTTATAAGCAGAATCTTGACCGGTGCAATTGTCTTACGTAATTCATTATCCATCGTTTTTACTAAAAATGCTTATTTTCCACAAATGACTGATTCTGAACAAGGAAACCTAATCTCATATTTTACTTACTCTACTTCGAATCGACCTTTATTAAGTACGATCTGTTTTTAGACTACGTTAATAGATTTGTTTCGAGAAGGTAAGGCTTGCAATGATAGCGGTATATCAGGTATTGGAGACGAACAATGTTTGAAACTGGTATCGGAGGAGACGTATTTCATAATATGTTGCTGTTGGAACAATCCATTTAAATGCACTTATGATCCAAGAAAACAACATATTATTAAGAGGAATAAGAAAATCTGGTTAGAATTAGCTAAAACTCAAAATCCAGCAGCTGCTCTTCGATCGGAATCGATCAATTTAGCCAAAAAATATCTCAGATGGTCATATCATGATTTCATCTATAGCTTTCCTCCAGGTAATACTAGTTCAATTTAATTTAAATCTAATTCCTTCTTATTTCAAAAGAAACAGCAAAAAGTGGACGCAAATGAGCAAAGATCCCTTTATTAAAGTTTACCATTCCTTCACAGGTACTAATTAACTGACTCTCTTTTTATCAACCTACTTGACAGCCTCATTTTCCCTATCAATAAAAATGAATACAGCTGCATGACGTAACTGCAAAACTGCATTTTGCATACCTCCTGCTCAGCGCGCTTTTTCTTTCTGTCATTAGTTTAAAGCATAAGCTTTGTTCTGTACATTCAAGGGGTATAAAACACTGGAAGTTCGTACAGTTTCTATCGATAATGAAACTTTTCATAGAATCAAACAGAACAGATATCATACCAGCGATGAATGAACCACGTTACTACTGCTCCCAATTACTTTCTTATACGGATGCGAGAAATCTGGTCATCTCAGTGACTCCTTGGAGCAAATTACGAGTTGAAGAATTACCCTTACGATATCGATTCTGCAAAATGTCCTTTACAGTTCTCTTCCAAAGTAATACAGCAAAAAGGTTTGTGCGCGTATATAATACTGAATTACTTAATTTCATTGGTGAACTTCACTCTTGCAATTTGAAACAAAATAAGAATGGGTGAATGAGTCATACTACTAGCTATTGCATAGGTTAGAATAATGAAGTGTTTGCTAATTATGAATCGATAACTGGTAAAATGAAAAAAAAAGGATGGAAAAAGTAGTAAACAGCTTTTATCTACACCAACAACTTAAACATTATAATAACGTACAAAAGAAACAACGATTAGACAGTTATCAAGACTGGAAAAGTTTCATGTAAGTCGAGAATAGGAAACTTCGCATATTGATTGAGTTGGAAACGACGATCAGTTAAAAAGTAGATGAAATAAAAAGTAATGGTTAACATCGGAAGATATTTTATCAGATCTAATTTTTTTTTTTTTTAAATGGGAATTCAAAAGAACAAAGAACAAGACAATCCTGTTGGACGAACAAAAAATCGTTCCGAAAACTGATTAAAAATTTAACCTGAAGTGCGGTACTGGTATTCAGTTATTGAAGATAAAATAACAATTACAAAACATCGTAGAGTATCTGATAAACAGCTTAGAATACTAGCATTTCGAATGTTGCAAAGATATTTCAGAGCCTATTCTCTTAGAAGGAAAGTTTAAAATATCAACATTTCAATTTAAGATAAGAACTAGGTAAAAACAAAAGCCTGTAATTAATTCAACCAAATCATTATCAATTAAATCAATTTTCCCCATCCTTAGTGATAATTTGACATCTAAAAGGCTGTACAAAAAGTTTTTGAATGATCAAGTTTTGACTATTTCGTTCAATAGTAAAAGAGAAATTGAAATGAAAATTAGAGAAGCGCTAATATCTTTATTAACAATTTGATGACATTAGATATTCAGAGTGCAGTACAGGGTTGGACCGGATATTGAGAAGACGTGTGAACGAGTGTCGTGTGAACACAACTCTCCGAAATGTTTAAACGATGTGTTACGAGCAAAAACATCGGTGGTCCAATCTTCCTGTTGCTGTAAAGGCAATTTATGCGACATTTGGCGGCATTTTCGCGATTATAGAGATTTAACCATGAAATCGAGATATTTTACTAAGTATCACAATCCTTAAATCTATCATAATTTTTGTTTGATTTACAAAACTGTTCATAATTTAACTCTAAATGACCTCAGTTATTCCTTTTTAGTCGATATTAGTGAAACTTTGATTTAAACTAAATATCATGATAAGAAAAGTAAAGGAAAGAAAAAAATCAAAAAAGACACAAGTGAATACATGTGTATTGGGAGGAGGATGTAATAGGTGACGAAAAGCTGATTGATCGAACTCAACGGGATAAATGTCATTAATGTATTCGACAAATCTAAAATTCGGTGATCACATGACATTTTCGTTTCAATGATAAAATTGACATCGTTTTTTACAGTCTTTTCGATTCATGTCATCATCAATCAGCAACATACTTGAGGGCCGGTTTACTTGGAACTAGCCAATGTGTGAGAAATGTTGATTTCCGATTTCGGGAAGAAATTTTTATGGATGAGCACAAACTGATCTCGTATAAATTTGCTGAAAACGAAGCAATAATCGGTGACAAGTTAGTGCATTTGGAATCTCTCTTTGCTGGTCACTTGCTCATTAGAAATAAAGTAGACCAGGTCAATCTCGCCTAATCCAATTCATGTGCTGCACTCTTTTTAAGACTTGCCGACCATAAACATGTCTAAAAAGCAATCTCCAAAAAATGTATATGCAGGAATCTTAGATTCCTGCATATTTTTCGTGTTATTAACAAAGATAGGAATTTAAGGATTCTAAAACGCCAGTTTAAGTTTCAGCAAACATTCTTTCATCTTCACATTTTAAATTCTTATTCAATGGAGTACTGATAATTTTCCAATACTTGGAAACGACGAAGCTGAGAGTAGAATGATCGTATTCATAAGAAAGTCTTATTTATGAGTATAAATGTACAAAGTAGCAAATGAATTATTCTTCAGTTTTACGCATAAGAAACTTTTTCTTCCAAACTTTACTCATTTTTTAGCAAATGATTGTTCTGAAAAAAGAAGAATCCTTAAGCGAATCCTTATTTGAGCAAATTTTGACTGTTAAAGACCTTTTTTTGGCCATTTTCTAATTTTTAAACTCGACTAACTCTAAAACGAACTTATGACACATTTTTTCTTGTCCTCTAGTCTTATTTGCTGAGATGGTTTTTGATGAGCAATTATTTGCCATTAAAAAGTTTATATCGATTACCCGCAAAAGGAGTTTAGCTATTAACTTTCCGAAATTCAATATAAATAATTGGCATATATTTTGAAAAATAGGATTATAAAAGTTTTGGAAATATTATGTGTAGACTGTAGACACAGTCGAATATTGGTTAACGAAAGTTTATTGGTTGACGGCGAATTATTATACGTTACAAGAGAGTTTCCAGAAAAAGAGAGTTAAATATAAAGTCGATCACCAAGTTGGTTGAATTGATTGATTAAGTCGGGACGCACAGTTCCTTGAGTGATTCGTGTATATGGTGTTAAGTGAGTAACTGAATAACTGAATCATAGAAAACTGCTGGATTGTAGAAAGTAGAATGACTGTAGAATGTCCTCTTGAAAAATGACCCCCCATAGAATGACTTGTATGTAATGACCCTTGTTATTTGTCCACACCACTTGTAAGGTAAGGGATTCGTTTACAACAATCCAAAAGGTTAGAACCGATTAACCCTAAGATCATTTTTTTAATAGAGAAATGCAAATCCATTAATTACTGTAGTGGAAATTAAGAGTCACAATGAAAAAATTGACAACATATCTGGTTAATACCTGCTACTTCAATGAAGTTTCAAAATTGATAAGTTTCATTTAGCCGAGAGGACGACAGACGACTACCTTATTCTTTTATCCAAATTTATCATTTGATGGTTTGTTTAATCTGTCTACTCTTGTGTCTCCTATTACATTGCAGAAACTGCTTGTTATCATTACAGGAGAAATTTATCATGCGCTATATATCAGATACATACAGTGAAAGATCCATATTGTCATTTGAAGAAAAATTATGAAAGCGAAAGGACCGTCTTTCAGTTTCTTAGTTGCAAATGTGATATTAGAGAAGCAACCTTGAAATCAGTAAGTTTATCATCGATTGTAGCGTCCACGTCACATACTGGCTTGTTTTACTAAAATACTCAGAGTCGAATCCAAAGGTACCATAGCAATTTCTATCTGCATCTTTCTAATATATCACCAAATATTCAGTGATAGCATTGCATTTTGCATAGGTGCTCAAAAATAGAAGGAAACGTTTCTATGTGCTTTTCGATACAATATAGTCTAAGTTGTTTCCATTCTAACCGCATGATATATTCGACATTCATACTCTTTATCAGTTTGCTGAATTCAGGAACAGTGCGATGCCGGGATCAATTCTGAATCTATTCTAGCGTCAGAGAACTGGGTTCGGTCACCTTGCTTTTTTACCAGTATTACTGGTCATCATCCTCTATTTATTGGAGAAAGAATTACCTTAAGTGGGAAGTCCAGAGAGGTATGGCTAATTGTGTTGTTATTAACAAACAAGGAAAGCAAAGATGAAGCGAACATAACTCAACAAAACAATAACTTCCACTTCAAAATTTATGCTTCCTTTCAGGAAACGGAAGAAATGCCAATTTGTGCAATGGCCTTATTGATCGGTAATTCCGGCCTATTTTATCGCTTTTACAATGTGCGCTACTCTCAATTTCAAGATGAAATCCCATTAAGGAAACGTTTTTCTGTGACTAAACAAGGAAATTATACAACCTATACAACACTGTGTCGAGCCAATGGAAGCTATCCTTGCAATAGTACGTTTGCTCTATTTTACGACACAATGTGGCTCTTCATAGATGGCCAAATATCAGTTACAAATAGTGTGAATCATTAAGGAGAAGTGTGATTTGCAGATTTACTGGATTTGATAACTCATCAACTAAGCTATTCGGTACATTTGGGTTCCAAAAGAAAAAACCACGGTTTTATCATCAATGCGTTGTGTCTGAAAAAGCAAAAACAACCGTAACGAAATGTTTTTCAACAGCTGGCTGCTTTTTCTTCAGTTATCTCTATTCACAGGAAACACTGGTCAGTAAAGCGGAAGCACTTGGGATTGTATGAACAAACCATCGGGATTTAATTTCATTTTTATGGAAACCAATTATAAAATCTAAATTTCCTATAGCATCTTTCCTTCCACTTCATCCCCTCGGCTAGAAGATATATGGCATACATGCATTACTGGTAGGTGATGATAAGTCTGTAGAATCTTTGAGTGAGAAATAAAGTCGGGAAATTGATAATAAGTATGAAACTGAGGTAATTATTTTAGATGATCAGGGCAATAACACTGTAACCTTCAATATGTGATCTAAAAATAGAATCTTGATTGGATGAGGGAACCATCTATAGAAGTTTGGGAAAATTTGTTCGTAAATGAAATCAAAGAGATAATTCAGGTATAATTCAATCGAATATCCATTTTAGAATGGTTGCACGGACACAATACCAGCTTTAATGGAGGCAAATCCGAATCTATCACCTCTTATATGGTGCACTCGAAGAACTTATAATGAGGACAATTACAGATGCACAGCTTATAAAGGGACCACCAACTTGATAGCAAGTGGAACTTTATGTTGCTGTTATAAGGATTGCTTCATCATGTTTGTATTGTCTTTAGCACTACTTTTTTAAACTAAAAATTCTGTATGGACCAAGATAAGTACTGATGACTTGAGAGGTCAAAACTGAACAAATCAAGACATATGAAGGCATCTTCAGACACTTCGAATGAACCAAAGAAACAGTGCTAGACGAATAAGATCAGGTAGAGTGGATTAAAGGAATTATTAATCGGTATGATAGATTTGAGTTAGTTTTAGAAGGTTAAGATATAGAGATGTCCATCAAGCAGTGCATCATCAACTGATCGGCTACTGGATCAATTCCACACTTTTACTATAACCATTTCAACATCAGTGAGTGCTGTCCTAGATATCGTTGTTGAACGGTCAGGCCTGATGACCATAGGGTCGTTTCAATGTTAGAACTGTTGCTCAGCACGCTTGTGTAATAGACAAAAATCAAACTACAATAAATACTTCTCTGGCGTTCGATTCGAGTCTTTGCCATTGCATCTATCACCATCCGAATCCATGTCCCTTCTAATTTAATGAATCGCAAATCACTTCATCTCGTAATTTATCCAATAAATCACTAAACCTGTTGAAGAGTCTATTGCAATTTATATTTTAGGATGGATAAAGACGAATATGGCTTTAACCCCTTCGAGAAATATTGACAAGTTGATAGGCTGTTTACTTTGTGCAGTTTGATGGTTATAATTTTACACTTTTTTGCCGATTCATATTTATGCAGTTAATTGCATGAACTAAATTTGTTTCCATAAAAATTAATTCCAAAATGTGTTCAATCACCACCTAAATTATAGTCACTGGTTTAGTTTCGATGCAGTGATGTAGCAAGGAAAACATCACCAGTTTCATCTACAAACGTCATAGTCCTCAAGTCCAGTACTATTACTTTCTCTTGGAGAAGTCAAAACAGTTCAATTTCTGTTTTTATTCTACATTCTAAGTGCAATTTATGTTACTATCAAATTATATTCCAGGTATTTACCCAACCAAATATAGTGAAATAATCACACTCTCGCGGTGAAATAATCCCGTACATTAATCCCATACATTGCATATAAGATACGTCGAGAGACTACTGCCTAATATTCACATCTGATTTAATAACCATGTTAGTTTACAAAATAATAATTTCTCGGGAAATCTGAACTATGAGTGCGTAAAAAATAAATTTCATCTTGAATACAAAAGTTATTTGTAGCTTCCTGATTACTAACGAACCCTGACCACTAACAATTAAATTTCTATGTTGTTGTGCCTCACCAACGGGAAGGTTCTGCGAATAACAATCTTAGGGAAAACAATTATAATTAATGGATAATAAATTCAAGAATAGAGAGCAGAAATACAGATAAATGAAAGAAGAGAAGGCATAAATAACATTAAGGGAGATAAGAATGAATAAAAGGAGATAAGAAAAACTTTGGAATTTTCCATATATTTTTCTCTTTTTTTTATTTGGAAGTTGAGAGCTTTGTTTATTATATTACAAACAGTTGCTGCTCCTACATAATGCCTACAATTAAGCTGAACGGAAATGGAACAGCTTGGAATGAAACCTGAGGAAGTAAAATAAAAATTAAAAACAATGAAAAAGGCTATGAACAGCCGAGCGTACGTAAACGATATGTAATAAAATATGCAAAAAGCAACTTGGATGAACTTATCACTAAGCCAACAAATGTCATTTGAATAACTCTGCCTGAAAGGACACAAAACTGAAGACGATTGCTAAATTCAGCAAACGTTTACATGGCTTAACATCATTGGAATTTCTCGAGAACTTTACTGATGCCAAACACAAATTAAAATTATTTCATGGCTACTACTTGCATTAATTCATATATCCGTAATGCGTAATAGGAGCTTAAATCATAGATGAGAGGAAAAAAAAACCCAGGGCTGAAATGAAAGAACTGGAACAAATAAAGGTTTGTATGTGTCAATAAAACACAATTCTGCAATACAAACGAAGAAAAGCTGAAATCATCATAATCTAGCATTGCATATTTTCTGGACAGGATGAAAAAAAGATCACTATACCATGATGATATAAAACTAGATTCCTAGACGAAATATCCAGTCACTCAGCAATTATAGCCACCATTTAAAAGTTTATTACCACTCATTACAGGAACGATCAGGTCATCCATATTTGGACAAACCAAATTTTTCTCTAACAGTAAACGAAGCTTATTTTCAATCCAGCTGGAGACGGTACTCATATCCACTAATCTGTCACCCACTTGAGGAACACTCCTGATAGAAAGCTCCGGCGGAGTACGGAATGCATACCTGAAATTTATCAGCCTAAACTCAACTTCTCAATGAAACGAAATTTTTAAAACTAAGACGAGATTTCAAAAAGACCAAGTGCTGGTAGGCAAAAAGAAAATTTACCAAAGTCTGTCAGAAGGAGGTGGAGGAATGTTAATCGTCATGGTGCCCTTCAAGTGTATTACGTCAACATTTAGTAATAAACGTGTCGATGATATACCCTCCATCATCTAAATTGTAATAAGTACTTTCTGTGCAGCAGTTCCAAATTGGCATACTAGAACACAAGGGAATTATGAGCGTATGAGCTGAATGAACGAAGAATAGGAGAAGCCTCGAATCTTTGCTACTTGGGAAAGTAGCACACTAAACATAAACGATAACAAATACGACTTATATATTATCTATATCGAAAAGGACTGAATCCCTGGATATCATACAATGATAGGTGTGCGTAACTTTCAGTAAATGTAAAAAACTAAAACTAATGTAAATGCAACATGATTTAGATATCATCAGCTGCTTTGAAGCTTACACAGACCTTTTTTACAGGTCGGAATTCGGAGGCACCTTGGAATATATTACTGCTAGCTATTTTATCGACCACATTCAGTAACTTTTTGCCCGTACTTTCTTTGGTAATCTGAATTCTGCAAAACATACATTTAAAAAAAGTGAGTCTAATTTGCGCTTGTTCAACTTGAGAATATCAAATAAGCTGGTATTACTGAGAACAGGTCCGATTTCGAAATATCTCGAAAAGGAACTAACTTCTCCATTTTGGAACCAAAATCTTCATCTGGACTATTTTCGGGAGATTCTGGTAAATCGGAGTCAGAATAGCGATGAACGCGCATCGGGATCTTCATTTTGCTAACCTAAATTCAAAATAATTGTTTCGCTTAAAATTTTGAACTCAGTGTTCTTTGAACATTCAAGTCCGATAGAAATTTGAAGCAATACCTTTCTGCATACTTCATTCTTGTGCATTCCCTCTTTCAGTTTCATTAAATTGACTTTCGTTTCCAATGTCAAATGTATTCTACCGCGATATTTCAACTATAACACGAAGAACATACTTTTATTTGTAATGTCATTAACATATTTTTTATTTTACTTCAAACTAACTAAATATTTCAGTAGCATTTCTCTACAAATAATTCATTAAACATAGAAATTGAAAGTGCAGAAATTGGTTTACGTTTAGATGTAGAACTGAGTTCCCCAGTCACATCAATTAGAATGCACAGCAAATACCTCAAAATCAATCCAAAGTCCCCAATCATCCAGAATAGGTGAATGAACAGCGACTATTTCAGGTGGTGCAGTGCCAAAATCCAAATTTGAAAGCTCCAGAATTTCGATAAAGTATGGCAACTAAAAGCAAATAGTGGAACAATTTCACTGAATCTATAAAGCAGAACCTCAATCATCATAAATAACCAGCACTTTAAAACCAAAAATAAGTGAGAATTTCATCGAAGATCAGTTAGCAAAAGAAACTCCAAACAGTTTTTTTCAGCAAATCTCTTCTTTAGATTTAATAAACTCATTTGATTCTTAATTTTTGATTGAGGTCATTTCCTAAATATCCCTTCTATTGCTTCAAGTTCGTGATGCAGTACATCGGAAAGATATACATAGTAAATAGTTTACAAAGATTAGCATACAAAATGTATTAGTCTTCATCAAAAAGTTTTCAACACCTTGTATGTAGTAGAAAACGTAAGCTATTTCAGCAGAACCATAAACTAACATTAAGAGTGGCTAGTTTGGACTGAATTTTGTCCTGTACCTTCTTGCACCAATATGCATCTCGACAAAAATCATAAAATATTCTGAAATATATTTTGCAAACTTTACTGACCTACCAAAAATAATCGCTTCCCGGAAAATAATGAGAAATGATGAAAAAGAGCACTAATTTACTTCCCAGAAACGTTTCACGTTACGAAGAGATATTTATGATGAAATGATTAACAGTGCCAAAGAATCAAATATCAAGATATGTCAAATTCGAACCTAGCAGTTAAAGCGTTTACAGACATTACAAGCTGCGAGCCACTGTCAGCTTTCCCAGGGCTCCATTTGTTACGCCCCAAATCCATATAGATAACATTGCCATCAGTTCGTTTTTCGTTATCCTCGCGTGAAATTTTAAAGATTTCATCAATACACCTAGGCAGGAAATTGGATTTCCAAAAAAAGATCGAAAAATCACCGAAGAAAATTATTTATTTCAAAACTGATATTTATTTTTAAAAATGTGAAATTAAAATTAAGGTTCATACTTTTCAAACTGTATGCGATTGCTGACGTAAAGAAAATATTCCAAACTAAATTTCAACGAATCTGAATAAGCAGCTGATAGAGGAAATGAAAAACGACGACTTGGTGAAACTTCTTCCACATTACTTCTTGGAGGCTGTAACATTATTCTTGGAGGGGGATTCTTGGAGACTGTAACATATTTCCTACATCAAATCAGCCACTTGGGATAAATCTTTAGAGTTCTATTATCCATTTTTTTGCTGTAATCATTTAAACAATCATCTTTCCGCCTATGGAAGTGGCTCATTTATACACCAAGTGTTAATTTGTTAACTGATTTGAATCCAATACTTCCCGGCTATGTCGGTTGTCCGGAGTGTTTAATTTTATTTGGTTGAAACTTTCAAATCTTGCTGAATTACTTTTTGAGATTACTTGCTTACACCTTGTTCAAACGGATGGCTACTAACGCATGAGATTTCAATTGGATTTTAGTTCAAAGCAAAAATCGTTTAAATTAACCGTTATTTCTGCAGCCGCAATTCCCGTACTGCATTGACTGCACGCTTCTCGTAACCTGTAATAGTTCCACCGCACTTGAAGTAATGGAAATATTCGAATTGCCAACTGATTATCAGAAAAGCTACTATTTGATAGACTAATAAACTTAAAGTATTCCACAGCAATTATAATAGGATAATGAAGAGAACATGCAAGTACAATTCTCATGTCTAAATAACCAGTGTTAGCCAAACATGGATGCACGACAGCTTTCATGTAATTCCGGCAATACTCTGTCCATATGATAACTAACAATCATTCATAATTTTTCTTTATAACTATAAAAGATGTTATTAAAAATTTTAAAAATTACCTGTGAAACCAACGCTCTTTTTCCCTAGCACTACGAACAAAGAAGTACAAACTCCGGTTTTCTGCTACATCCTTACTTCGATTATTTCCAGATTCATCAGAGCATGAAGTAGCATCTGAATTTTCCTTGTCAGTTTCTGCAATATACGTATTCTGCAAAAACGACGGTGTTATTTCGAAATATATGGACTTCCGCAAACTATACACTTTTTAACTCAGAAAGTTCAACCTAGAAACCTAAACATGGAAACAGTTTTGAGGACTCAAGAATTCCAATTTAAACGTTAAAGTTTAAATGAAAGAGTTATTTAAGATTATGCAGTTCAACAATAGCTGTTTAATCAAAAATAGAAATATAATGGTCAAACGATTAGGCCCATGCACAGATGTGCTTTGAACACAACAGCATTGTTGCCAAGTAGCGTAAATGATTAGATAAGCTACTTAGTTTTTGTAACAACCTATAGGAATATTAAAAGAATATTAAGGGCAGTGCGAAAGAAAGACATACGCGAATCTCCATTGAGGTTTTCCTGCGAAGGGCGTTTCATATCATTCTCATGTATTGCTTCAACTAATTCTGGTGATCTTGAATGAAGATTCACACATTAAGCATAGACAATTGCAGAAATGACGTTGGGAACATTTGGCCATAAAAAACATGTAGAAAGTTCGTAAGTGCCTTTTACAAATTATTAAATTGCAAATAACAACTAGCTTAACCATGCGTAAGTTGGAAAGTTGCACAAATCTAAGAAATTCAGTTTCTTGCGAATCGCAAAGCATAAGAATATTGTGTTATTATATAATTTATAAAACCTAGAATTTAAGGATCTTAACTTCCTCTTTCAGTGTTACATAAATCACTAACCTTATTTTGCTTTTTTTCCCTCCAACTATCTTGCATCCATTTGTATTACATTCTTCGTCACTGCTTGATGAAGACTTTGCTAATTCGATTTCTTCATTTATAGAAAGTGACCTTCCAAGTAATGGGAATGTTGATATTTCGCTATTTCTAGAAGATAAGCGAATATGTATAGGATACTTACGACTCCACCAACGTCTTCTTGCCAAACGTTTGGGCCGCAGGGTAACCTAAACATACGAAACTTGGACTGTCTACCAAGAGCAATCAATGAAATTCAAATTAAATACGAAAACTGTGTGAAAATGGATAAAAATGGAATTAGAAAAGTTAAGAAAAAAGGTGAAATACATTACCGTGGCTCCCGTTAAATTGTATATACTTTGACTCAAAATCTTTGGTTCTGCCTCCGTTAATGTTGGATCAGTATGGAAAGCATGCTTGAGAACAGCTCGTTCTGGACGTGAAATACGCAATAAATTACCATCGAGACATACAAGCACAGTCTTAGCATTATTTACATGATAAGTCGATGAATGGTACTTGCCACGAAGTTCATTCATCCAGCCCTATAAAAATCACTTTTATTATTTCGTGAGTAACTTCAGAGTATATCATATCAAGGACACTACTAGCATAATCAACAATTGTCCACAAGAAGTATGCTTTTCCTGAAAAAGTGATGATATTCTTACAGTTCAAACATATACTAACTACAGCTTTGCGAGACCTAATAAAACGGAAGCACCACCACAACAGGAACATATCTAGTAAATCAATTATGTATCTGTTGATTTTGGCAGATGTTGAATCAATTGCTTGAATTATTATTTCCTCAAATGCATGGTCTATTCGCTATGATGAAGAGACGACAAATTACGAAATATCTCAAAATCTGCAAAGCGCAATATAATGAAATATAAAATGAAGCTTGGACTAAAAAATACACTATTATACATGAACTCTAGTAGTAACCAATGACGAATAAGCAGATCAGCAACGAATGTGGGAATGTGGCAATACCAAAAAAAAAAAAAAAAAAAAAACTAACAGAAAACCGATAAGATCATTAATTCAATTAAAACTAAGCAATTACTAGTTTGAAAAACAAAAGAATCAAAATGAAAATAGCTAAATTCCCCATTCAAGATGAATCTGCAGTCAGTGCTATATGCATAAAGTTGAAAATAATCCGCCGACCTTATATACTTTATTTCTTGAAGTTTCCTGTTCCTTAAACTCTTCCGATAGGTTCAAAACAACATCGCTATGTACAGGAAGATTTGTATTCACCGGTTCAGATACAAAAAAGTATAGAAAGTACACAAATGATATGTACAAACCCCAAAGAAAACCGCTTATGAAACCTGAAAAAAGTTTATCGCAAAAAAGTGTCAATGAAAAATTCAAAGTCCCTGAAATTTTTATAACTCCGGGAATTCTCGAGGACGCAATGCAACAAAAATAAGTATATATAAAAGAACAACGTTGTTCATTCATTTTCAAAAAAATATATGTTAGCTGACCAAGTGATGAAAATGAAACCAAAAATAATCAAACCAGGAGAGAGAATCGAGAATACAAGAAGTAGGAGCGCAGAAATGATGCGATGTCGTAAAAAAGGCAAAATTTGATGCCTGAAATGATAAATTAGTGTTTCTACCTCTTACAAGTCCAGCAATCTATGCCATGTTTAAAAAATATAGCAAATCTATACTGTTTTTATACTATACTACACAGCAATCTATACTATGTTTCTAGCTTATCGCGTCTTCGATGTAGATGGATCTCCGTCTATCGACAGCAGCATGGCACTTCATAAAAAAACTTCAATAATCAGTCGCTAGGACATTTAATTTAATCTTTTGTTAGTTGAACTGCTGTTAATCCGTAATCTAACAATTTAACTATATGGAAGTTTCTCAGAATTGTGAAATACCCGAACAATAACAGAAGTATAACTCACCTTTTGATCAAAACCTGAAACATCCATGGCTGTTCAAACTTCAAAACTTTATCTCCTTCGCTTCCAACGGCTTTAAACGCATGAAACGAGTCGAAAAACGATGATGGTCGAATTACTGCGACCTGCAAGATAATTCGATTTCCGCGCATGTACTATTTATCATTACTTTTAAAAAAACCAGAAAACAATGACTTCTACAGCCAGTATACTCGAAGAAAATGTGTTCATCGGATGTAAAAAAGGAAAAAAAAGCATAACAAAAGGTCGAACTTGTTCAATGTAGTGGATAAAAACTGAAACATAAATAATTAAAGACAAAACAACGTCTTCCTGACTTTCCTTTCTCGAGAAAGCAAAACAAAACAACACCTTATTTGCAGACGGCGATTCTCTTGTTGCATATTCTTTGTTTTGCAGTTCAATTTCAGGCTCTATACCAAGTGCATCTCGTCCAATATTGATCACTTGATGGACTTCTTCAAGCGAGTGAGTATTTCCTGGAAATAAATGTTGAGGGCCAGATTCGTTTCCGATTAAATCTGTATGAACTTTCGAGGTGTTTAAAAAGCTCAGATTACTTTAAAAAATCAGAACGACTCCGAATTTCATTAAAGGCGAACGCTGAACAGAACATTTATTTCTCTAATTATTGTACTGGAATTCATACTTGTAACTTTTTTGTTCTTATGTGAATGCACCAGCTTACGCCCTCTATTCTTAGCTTTACCAAAAACGGCACTTAGACGAGACACATTTTCAGCCCGAAATGATGAATCATTGGAGCTAATTAAATCCTGATCACTGATTCGTACACTAAGTAATTCAGGTCGCTGAAACAGGAATTACAACATGAGAAATGTTTGAAGCATCCCAAAATCCGCCCAAAGATATGTAATCAACATTAAGATATAACAATCTTTTGCTCCTAAACTTCCCGTCTTCCCTTCCTTTACACCTTTAGCTCATTTCATCTCTTTCCATCGTACATTGGAACAACTTATTAACTTTCAAACAATTAGCAAGGACAAGAAAACGACTAATCAGTAACCAATAATCTTTAACCTGAATTCTTTTCTGGTATTAATTTTTCAGTAAATTCTAATCTAATGTACTATTTTCTTTCAGTAAAAAGTTACCAATTATTCAAAGACTCTACAATACAGGTAGACTACTTTAGTACTCTTGGTAGTACTTCTACCAACGAACAGTTACTATACCTACTCCGAAAATATGGGAATCAGACCATTTTCGAATTATCTTTTAGAGACTTAGACCCATAACTTCTTTTGAAAAATTGTAAAACCAAACAATGGAGACCAGAAACAAGGAGAGAGATCGAGGATGCACATTTTGACAAAATAATTTTGTTTTCTAATTTGTATATTCCGAAAAATCGAAATGTCGCATTTGTTTTTCGCTCGATTAGTTGCAACGAGTGAAGTCTGTATTCATTCATATAATTAAGAAATGCATTTTTAAGAACAAAGTACTAATTACTGTAACAAAGTGTTCTATGAAAACCTAACAAGAAAGTTTCAACATGGCCAGATCAGAGAATCCTGGAACAAGTTTCTGTTCAACCACAATATTCTCCCTTTTTCTCTTCCGTTCCTTCTTTTTCATTTCCTGGGTGTCACATTTCAAATGATATGTACAAACTGATTACTCTTTTATAGCGTCCAATGTCTGCCTATTAATTCCGATACTTATTTCTGATCTCTAAAAAAAATTTGCGTCTACCTTCTCTACACAAAACTCTAAAATTTTTTCTTGTGAATCCTAGAAACAAATTTTGATAATTACACTAATTGAAAATTTGACTTTAATGCTTAGATGTCTCAAACAAAGACAAAAAATTCATTACATGGACAGAAGAGGAAGCCGTTCGCAATTTTTTTCTCGAGGTTTCTGCAATTTTACTTTCGAAACTGCATGAAGCAATCGAATCACTACCGCAACTACTTGTTTCTCGCTAAAAAAAAACAATCAAATGTAGAGCAATCAAGATTACTGTTCCGCCATTTTATCCCTTTCTCGCATGATTTGAAACAGCGATGAATACTAAAGGGGAGATGTAAAACCGAATTTTTAAAATGCCATTTGTGGAAGTCCGTCGCAAGAGTACGTCTTGTTACTCAAGTCATGAAGATGAAAGGGGGTGGTAAAGAAAATAACATAAGTCTGATCAAATCAAGTCACAGTAGAGTCATTATATTATGGTATGCGATTCTGTCAAGTACTCATGCTCATGATAACTAATCTTTGTCAATGTATTAACTTCCGTAACTGTTACTACAACAAGCACACCGCGATGAATAACAATACTGCTATAAAATTGGCCGTGCTTCTCCCAACAAGACTTGTTATACTCACAAAAAGTTTAAGACTACTTTTCAGTGTGAAAACACAAGAATTTTTGCGGCCACAAGCGTTCAGTAAAAAATATTAAAATTTCAAATGACGATTAACGCTTGTCGAACTTTACTGACATAATCAAAAGTGATGAACATAGTTAACAATAAATTTACCACTCAATTTCCTACTGATAATTTTATTCCTTCCTACTGTTCAAGATTATAATCACAAAAAGTATCATAGGTTCGAGTCTTCGATAAAGTGGAGGATATTTTAAGAAGGAATTTATAATACCTCAGAAGATCATTCCTTAAGTTTTTAAGTAGAAATATGCAGAGAAAAAGGCATTTAAAGAAAATTGTGAAGTCATTAAGACGTTTACATGTGAATAAATAACAGTTCTCTTTTCGAGAATAGATAACAACACTTCTCAACAAACGGAAGAAAAAACAATTCTATGGATTCATGCATCAAGTGACGCTGTAAAGAATTATTTGACGCTACTGAAAAACTGACGAGGTAAAAAAAACTTCAACATCTGATGCAACAGCGAAGAATTTCGGGACGTGATGACTAAAATAATTTAGATTGCTGTCGTGTTTGCAATCCTTTTTTCTTCCATTTGTAAAAAAAAAGTGACCATTCAAATAAAATGATAGTAGTGACATCAAACCCACCAACAAAACCGACAAAAATTGCTGTGATCTAGAGTGTTCTGGTTGTTCGGAGGTTTGGTCTTTATTAATATTTTCCACTTGGCTGAATTGATTTGCATAAACTGAATCATCGAACGATACGACAAATCGACCACTGTCCTCTAAGGCATTTCAGTTTTTTATTATTACTTAATTTCCGAATGATATAGAATAGAGCTCCAAACCAAACGAAATTTCCAGGATAAACAGTAACAATTCAGACGTTCTCATAAAGCTTAATATTGTAACCACTGCTTACCGCTATCATCACTATGACGAAATGATAAAAGTGGAGATGTTGAATGTCCTCTTGCTTTCGTGAATTTGACAATAGGAATTCCTGAAGATTTGAATGACAAATTTTTAGAAGATAGAAACTGACCAGCCTGTTATAACTATATGATTTGCATTTTTTCCTGATACCCGATTTCGACAATCTTTTGTGCAGAACAGCAGGCACTATCTCCCTCCAGAGCTGTTTTACATCACTTCTGTCCTCCCCCTCCTCCTCTTCCCTATTACTATCCTTTCAGTTGCTGATGATTTGAATCAGAATTGTTTCTTTTGTTCTATTTCACCAGTCACTAACCGATCTCCTAAGAATCGGATGCGACTAAATGGAAGAAAGAAATGATAAAGATGAGCGGTACATACTGCTTGTATTCTGCATCCTTTTCCCATAACGATTCTCGTCTTCATAAGGCTCCATCGAGGAACATAATCTGAAATCACTTCTATGTAATATCAGTTGCGTAAGTTACCTGTTGCATATAATATAGTATCAAGCGAATATGTCAACCGCTTAGAGCCTTACACATCAAAAACAAACTCCGTCGCCCGAGCCGCAAATTACACGCACTCCTGGGGCTCTACTATGCCAAACCATGCAACTTACATGGAAATCTTGTCCATTGCCATTTTATTCCAATTTATGGTAACCTTGACAGGACGTGGAGTAGGAGTAGTAACTAGAACATGGTGTATGCACGACATGAATATCCATTCGGACTTGTCCAGGAGCTATTTGATCCCGATCTGTGATTCATCACATGTATTTGCTCTTAGAAAATCCAGGCGTCCTCACATAGATCTCTGCACCAAATTTTTCATAAAAAATAAAGTATGTAATTTCCAGATCTGTCGATGGCAGCATGTACTAGCAGTGGTGTCGTTTTACTTCGAGTCTCATCGTCAATTTACTCGGTTGTTCGTAACTTGTTAAGGCCAAGACGGAATATACCATTCCGAGGAATTTACAGGACGGAGGGTGACCTGGTACGAAAAGATGATCTCCTAGTGTGCCAACACAAGATGAATTTTCATCCTGGCTTAAATGTATGATTATACACTTCGTTATTCTAATATAAGTAAAGATCACCATGTTACAATGAGTCACTAACGTTCCGGAGGGTTTCCAGTGTTTGTATGCAACTTTAAGGCTAAAGGCCTTTGGTCACTGATAAATCATGGTTTTTGGAAATCGCTAATGAAGGATTGGCGGGAAGATACCACAAAACGATATCTTTTCTGGTCCATCATTACCGTACTGTTTCACAGTTTGTTCCATTTCAAGGTCCATTTAAAAAGAGATCGAAGTGGACAACTATTGCTCAAAGCGATGACAGATGGTCACGTGGTGATTACTCAAGAAAAAATAAATCCAGACTTCTCTATACCTGAAATGTTGGCCTACGAGAGTATGGAGGAAGTTTATAAATTAACATTTAATGTGCTTCCACTGGATATGTCACAATCATTCAGGCTATTGAATGAAATTTGACGATATCTCAAAAACATTTTATTTCTCTTTGGATCAACCAATTTGAAGTTAGTACTTGCATATGCATTGTCGTAATACACAACTCTTCGTGAGAATTGACTTATCTTCATTCTCTGGCTGAATAAATTTAGTTCAGATGTTAGGCGTTTGGCAGAGATCTTTCTCTGCTTGAGCTTTTATTCATTGGTTTCACATTTGAATGATCTAAAACGCTTCATGTCAGAACTTTCATGCCTTTGTAGCTCTCTCGAAAACCTGAACTCCTAAAGCTGGAAAGCTTAAAAGTATTTGTTAATAAAGAGCAATAACTCAGTGGATTTAAAATCTTATGTGCGTCCGGAAATATCTAAACTGACCAAAAGGTTCTTCAGAAAAAAATGAATCCAGAACTTTAAACCCTCATTATTCTTAAAAAATTTTCCCAAATATGCTAAAAATACTAAAATGTAGTTTCA